GAAGGAGCAACTTTCTGCCTCTGTGAGACTTATCTTTCATTTTTTATTTTGAAAAAATTTCCACTTAAAAATATACTTGGATAACCACTTCAGTTTGCCAACAGATTTTAAATCTACCTTTCACATTTATGTATTCTGAATTCTAGCATTGTGTAAATACTATTCATATCAGTAAAATCTTTTATGTCATTGTAATTATTCATTATTATATAGACAATGATATTAAAATTATATAATTAATGGTAAATAACCATTAATGGTGTGATTAATAATTATATTAATGATTGTCAATTAAGTTTAATAGAAATGTGAATATGATAAAGGATTATAAGAATAGGGAGAAAACTTCTGATCATTTCTAATAGTTTAAGCATCACACTATTTTTCTCTGTATGTCTATTTGAGTCATGGAAATTGTAATCTTTCATGAATCTGAAGTCATTTAGTATAAATGCATTGTAATTATGATATAGGATGCCTGTAAGGCAGTCTAGGAGTTTACATCCAACACATTAAAGTGACAAGTTAGTGTGGCTGATGAATTAAGATCCTAGAATCCAGAAGGTTTCACTAGATACTGCAATACTATCAAAGTTTTCACCCATTGTAGAGAACCAACAACAATAAAATGCTATACAATGGCTGTAAATACAATGTGTGACAACATTAACTGCACTGCCACCTACTGGATGGAATGATACAGACTTCTAAGTGTAATTCCTGGAATAAATAACAGCTGATGTAAAATTTTTGGTTGAGTTTACTGTTTTTAATTTCTTAAAATATTTCACTATTAATAATTTTAGAATTAATTTCATTGCTTTTGTAAATTTTATTTTTATGTTACATAAAATCATAAATATTTTACATGTTATGCAGTGCTATGTGATGTTCAATAATTATGTATATTATCTCTAGCTTAAACCAGATTACACATATTTGTCTCTGAAACATTGATCATTTCTTTTTCATGGATGCTCTTAAATCTATTCTTCCAGCTTTTGAAATGCACAAGATATCACTGTCATTACAGTCACCATATAATCACTGTAATATGAGGTGGCACCCCAAAATTTATTGTTCATATCCAACTTCAGATTATTAACTATTAATATTTTCCCATGTCCCCAGTCCCATTTTACCCTCCTTCAGTAGCCATAATTCTTTCATCTTCAATGAGATCAAATTTCTGATTGTAGATATCAGTGAGAATGCCAAGTTACTTCCCTTAACATATGTTCTCCAGTTCTGTTCATGTTGTCAGATAAAATGGAATTTCATCCTTATAGCTTAATATATTTCTTGTTCATTAAAGGACATTTAAATTTTTGTATTTCTTGGAGACCAGGAATAAGGCTGTAATGATCACAGAAGTACAGATTATCTTTTCCCACCTGATTTCACTTTCTTTAGGTATATACCCTAATTGGAATTTCTGGACAATATGGTAGTTTGATTTCAAATTATTTTAAACAAATGATTTGGAAATAATAAAAAGACAAACAAATGATTATATTTGAATTTATGTGTCTTTTACTTGAAAATGTTTACCTTCTAAATTTTCTTTAGTTGTGCAAAGGTGTTGTCATTTAACAAAGCAGTTTATGAATACAATGAATAGATCAATGTCATTACTTTCAACATTTTCACCACCCCCTCCTGACTTCCCCTTTTCCTTATATTTCTTAATTTTAACCCCCATCTCTTCTTCATTTATCTACCCCCTCTCAATTTCCCCCAACCTCCCCCTACTTTAGAAAGTACCCACTTCCTGGTGTTTATATTGTTGGGCTTTGATTCATTCTTTCCAAGGAATTGAACTATTTGATTTCTCCATTGAATCTACCATATTTCAGTTAATACATCTGTAACCACTTGTATACCACACTATGTGTTTACTTATACGTTTCTAGCTACCACATATAAGGGGGATCATCCAACTTTTGTCTCTTTGGGTCTGACATACTTCACTATGTGTGATTCTTTCCCAAGTCTCGCCATCTCTCTTTTTTTTAAACCCCAGTTCCTTCCATTTATTTTATTTTATTTTTAATTTTTTTCTTTTTTAATAAGTTTTTTTATTGTAAAAATACTGTACAGAGGGGACACAGTTACATGAGCAAGGTAATGAGTACAATTCCTATCAAGCATTGTTGCCTCCTTCTTTGTTTTTCCCCTACCATTACCCTCTCTCCTGCCACCACTTGTACATCTCATTGTTACAATTGCTCAACCTGTATCCCTGTTTAAGTATTTTGTTTTTTCCCTTCTCCTCCCCAAATTGGAGAAATGTATATACAAGATGCAGGGCACCAACATCAAATACAGTGAAAACAGGGATTATACTGTGGGGGAGGAACATACAAAACAAAAAAATCACATAGTACATTATAAATATATTAGAAAAAAACCATTTGTGTCCCTATCTTGGGGTTGATTTTGTTGTGTTGATTCGGGACCCCCGAAAGACCACCAGAGACCACACCAATGCAAACAGCAAAAGAGTCGTTCATTTGCAATCTGGAGCTTGGTTCTCCTGGCACTCGGTAACCAGTGACACTAAGAGGCCCGAGCACAAAATCAGCACAGCTTTTATAGCATTTAACAAACAAGTTTTGGGGATTTCCACACAAGCAGTTACATGATTGGTTAACATTTTTTTTATTGTGAAAATACCGTACAGAGGGGTTACAATTACATGGGCAAGATAATGCGTACATTTCTTATCAAGCATTGTAGCCTCCTCCTTTGTTTCCCCTTCCCATCCCTTCCCATCTCCCCCAGCCCCCCCAACCCCCACCCTCTTACACCCCATCTACGCGAAAGTTGTAAAGTTCGTTTTTCGACATAACAATTTGTACATCTCATTGTTGTAATGGGTCCACCTGTATCCCTAAATAAACGATTTATTTTTTCTCTTCCTCTCCACAAATTATACCAACATCAAATACAGTGAAAGCAGTGGTTATACCGTGGGGGAGGGACATACAAAGCAACAAAGAAATCATATTATAAATATGTTAGAAGCATTTGGTAGTTTAGCAGAGATAACGAGTCTCATAGACTTTCCTATCTGAGCTGGCTCTGAACTGAGGTCCTCAGATCTTAGCCTTCTGACTAGCTGGGATCACAGGCATAGCGCCATTTTTGCCAGACCTATGTTGTTTTCTGAGAAACCCCCATAGTAAATTCCAGAGTGGTTGAACAAGCTTACATTGCAATCCATGATGTATTCAGATTCCTTCCCTTTTGCTCATATTCTGCATCAGTTGTTGTTTGTTTTCTTAATAATGACTATTCAAAGTGAGGTGAGGTGAAATCTCTTGTTGTTTTCTTTTGCATTTCCTTTATGGCCAGAGATATTGAGCATTCCTTTATGTGTATATTATCCATTTTTACTTCTTTTGAAAAGTCTCTCTTTAAATTAGTAGACATTTATTATTTGGGTCATTTGTTCTTAATTTATTATACTTTCTATATATTTGAGATATTAGACTCCTATCTGACATGTAGTTGGCAAAAATCACTCATTGTATTGACTTTCTTTTTAGCTCATTGGCTATGCTGTTTGTTATGCAGAAACTTTAAGCTTGATACAATCTCATTTATCTTTCTTTGATTTGCAATACTTCTGAATTTTTACTCAAAAAATTTCTACCTGTGCCCAGAGGTCCTAATGTTTCCCCTATACCTCCTGCAATAGCTTCGTGGATTCTGGTCTTTCAATAAGGTTACTTCTTTAGATATAATTTAGTTTTAATAATTTGTATTGAAAGTTTAATATTTGTTTATTCTTTATGTATCCTGTTTATTCAAACATAATTTACTTTTATCTTTATTTCTATTCAGACTTAATAGTTGTATATTCTTATAAAGTACATAATGGCAAATTCATACATGTAATGTGTAATATTTAAGTCAGTATAGCAACTACTGTAAACTTTTCGAATATTGATATTTTATTACTGAATATTTATTGCTCTTCCATTTATGTTGAAATAGATCAGGGATTATTATGGAAAAAACTACAATGAATTCCTTTCTGTGTTTTCCTGAATCTTACTGTCATTCTGTCTTCAATTTTTCCATTATCTTTTTCAAAGGAGTTCTGAATTTTCACAAATGATGACAAAAATGGTATTTGTTTTCTGTCCATGCTACTATAACAACAGCACTAAATATTCTCTGTGGCTAAATCATCTACCAATTTGTGTCTCTGTGTTTGCATTTCTTTAAAAAATAGTGTTTACTATAGATTATATTTAGTTTCCACATGGTGAAGAATATTATAAGATAGTTATAAACTCTATGCATATCATCTACTCAACCATTTCTCTATCATTTTCCAACCTACATACCTATCTTTCCATTTTCCTCTCCAGTGGTGTTATATTCACAAATCATATATTAACCATATATAATAACAAACCACATGCTTCTTGATTCTTTATGCTATTTCCATATCCAACTCAATAAGAATGGAGAATTAAGAACATATTCAAAATTTCAGCAAAGAACTAGTTGGTAATGTTAAAAATAAAATAAGCATTTCCAAAATGCATATTGAAGTTATGTAAAAATTCTTTCCGTCTTACATACAGAGATACATAGAAATAGGAAAACTGCCTATGAAAAATAAACTTAATATTATATCCAAACATATTTATGAATATTTTTCTTGAGTTAATAATTAGTTATTGGTTCTAGTTTAATTTGTAAAATTGTGTTCATACAAATCATGTATCTGTCAATGCACACAAAAACGATTAAGATAGTATAACACATAATAGGTGTGAATCATCAATATACTCTATTTTCTTTCCCAATATTCCAGAGGTATAATGTTTCAACACCAAGCTTAGGTGTACCAATAACTTTTTAGTGTATTTTATTCCAGTTTGATTAAGGATCAGCACAATAATTCCAGATAACCCTGAGGAAAGCACTCATCAATTTAGAATAACCCTGTGCATGCACAAATGTTACCTGAAGGAGTGCCTTTAGTCTCGAAGAAACAGAAGAATATTCTGTTTAGACAAAAATTTTCTTCTTATCAGTTTTTCCAACCCTGCCTTCATAGCTCTGTTTCTTAGGCTGTATATGACTGGGTTAAGGGAAGGGGGTAACACAATATAGCAAGCAGATAGAATGAGATCTGTAGATGATGAAGACCCTATGGTAGGTTTCAGGTAAGCAATAAAACCAGTTGAGAGAAATAGAGCTACAACTGTTAGGTGAGGGAGGCAAGTGGAATAGGCTTTTGCCTGGCCTTCTGCAGATGGAATCTTCCTGACAGTGGAGAAGATATAGATATAGGAGATTATGATACAGAAAAAGTAGCAAAAATCAAGTACCACATTAATGAGAATAAGAACAATTTCTACAATGATATGCTTTGAACAAGTAATAGCTAGCAACTGGGGAATATCACAGAAAAACTGGTGGATTTCATGCTGTCCACAATAAGACAAAGAAAAGGTACTCATTGTGTGTATAGCCGATATCACGGCACTGTTGAGCCAGGAAAAAGTGGCCATCTGCATACATGTGCTTCTGTTCATGATGACTTCATAGTGCAGAGGATGACAAATGGCAGCATAGCGATCAATGGACATGACTGTAAGGAGGCAAAGCCCCGTGTCAGCTGAAAATAGTACCAGAAAGACCTGGGCCACACAGCCAAGGAAAGAGATGGAGTTTTGGTGGGTGATGGAGTTAGCGATAGTTTTTGGCACCACAGCAGAAATGAGGGAGAGATCAAAGATGGACAGGATCCTTAAGAAAAAGTACATGGGTGCGTGGAGGCAGGGGTCCAAGGAAGTGACAGTGATGACTAGAACATTCTCCAAGACAGCTGCCACGTAAATCACTGTGAAAACCCCAGCATACAGGAGTTGAAGCAGCCATGGGCCAGAGAAACCCAAGAGAAGAAACTCTGTGTCCACCGAACCATTGATGATTCTTGATGAAACATTCTGCATTAAAACAAGAAAGTTCACATATGATACTCAAGGATGTCATCTGCTCCCATTCAAAGTTCAGAAGAACTAGTTAATTTGTGTTTCTATGCATCACTGCACTTAGCAGGTATAAATAACAGCTGTGAGAGTAAATGTTCCTCAGTTGAACAAACAGCAGTGTTCTGGGCATATGCCTAGTCTCACCATGTTTTTTTTTTAATTTCATTTTGTTTTTGAGAAGTTCAAGTGTCACCACAGTATTCAGTTCTATCCATAAGCTCTTTCCAGGATTACAAGACAGAGCATCTGGTCCCTTGTGAAGAAGGATATTATTGTGAATGTATATAAAGGGCAGAAAAGACAGTATATGTGAAATATCCAATATTCCCATACCATGATCTGTTATATGTCTTTGAAAATTTTGGTGTTTAGATATTGGTTTTTCATTATAGCCTTTTCTGTGTTCAAAATGCACTGCGTCCATGTATAGACATATTATAGTGGAACTTCTACTTATTATACATAGATGCTAACTAAATAAAACAACACAACCTTTATCATTCTCTTCCTGTTTTAATAATTTCTAAATGTTTAGTTTCTGGTGGTGGCATGCGCCTGATCCTGGAACAAAGGAAGCCACAGGTAGGACAGTCATGGCCTAGCTGGCCCCAAGGGTCTGTGTTAGAACCTACATGAAGAGCAATTAGAGCAAAAAGGGCTGTGGGCACGGCTCACTGGTAGAACATGTTCCTATAAACATGAGTTCCTGAGATCAAACTCCAGCCATGCCAAGAAAGAAAAAAAATCTATGATCAGAAAAATTGAATCTCTATATAAATCTATGTCTTTTTCCTTTATTATAATCTGTTTCTAATTCTCTGATAACTGCTTACGTACAGTATAAGACTAGTTCAAAATTAAATTCTTATTAGTATATCCATGTATTAGAGATTTAAAATTTTACATGTAAAACTAGTGAAAATATGTTGGTGTGTTGAAATCTATTTTGATTAGAACACTTACATGTTTTCTCTTGGGTCAATTTTTATGTCTGAAAATATAACCAGCAATTTTAGCATAATAAAATGAACACTTACTAAATTATCTTCCTTGCAGGGAACACAGGACATCAGCTTTTTGGTGAAATGGCTGGAGGAATGATGATCCATCAGTAACCCAGATGTCCCAAGTTAACTCTGACTTCTTAATTTTGTGAAACTCTCTCACTAATAGCATTGTATTTCCTGCTGTTCTGAGTTTAGCAAACACAGCTGCTTGTAAGAGCAAAAGGTGAGCTGGAAAGCCTCTTATCTCCATTGCCCATCTCCCTAAAGCTGTGCGTTGAAATTCCAAAGGGAAATGCTGCTACTGCTGTAGAGGTATTATTAATCCATTTCTCTCAATTAATAGACACAAATTGGCACCATTTTCATGTAGAAATATTGCATCACAAAGCATGTTCTCTTGCAATGAGTAGCTTCAAATATTGTAATACAACTGAGAGTCTTTATTTTTACTGAGAAGTCAATGAGGAGACATATTTTTCATCATTCATTGAGCCCTTATAGAGAAGAGTTAATGTGGCAGAATTTTCCCAAGTCCTGTTTATCTTTTACTATTTTCTTACAAAGTCATACTTTTATTATATCTGATACATATATGTGTATCATATTTGATGTATATAAAGGCACATATAAAATAGGTAGAATTATATATGATATACATGTGATATATATGTATCATTTATCAGGTATATAAAAGTATATATAAAATATACATTTATGATACTTATACAACATATATGCATTATATAGCATGCATATAAACTATATATAAAATATTTGAATATGTATGATTCTGATATGTATCATATATCATTTACATAATTGTATATATAAATATGTCTAATTATATTTACATATCTATATACAAATATATTTATATTCTATATTTGTTATGTTATACAAAATATATTTAATATTATATTTAATATGTATTTTACACACTCATATATATATATATATCCCATTCTTGGGCTTGAACTAAGAGACTAGTCTATGTCCTTGAGCCTCAGGGACAATGCTCTACCATTTGAGCCACAGCTGTACTTCTAGCTTTTTTGGGAGAAAAATTGGAGTTAAGAATCCTGTGGATTTCTTACCTGGGATAATCTTGAACCATAATCCTCAGACCTCAGCCTCCTGAAAAAGTAAGATTATAGGCATAAACCACTGGCACCCCACCTCAAATAGATATATCTTTAAAATTAATTTTATATACATAATTTTTTAAAAAATTGTGTATAATTTTTGACTGGTGAATACTTAGAATCATAAGGGTCAAAAGCAAAAACTAGTATCATATATAACATTGTATTTATGGAATAGTAATTGACCCAACTAAGCTATAATTTGCTTATTCTTTTAGTTTGATAATTCATTTTATAATGTAGTTTGAATTTTGTGTTGGAAAACAGCATGCTTCTGAGATTGGCTACTGTCAGACACACATTAATTTCAGCGTCCAAAATAATCCTCAAACCACATTATAAAGAATATTATGGAATAAAAGGACAAAAGTTTAAAGAGATCAATATTTGAACATTTTCCTACCATGTAGGAGGAACTCCAAGTTCCAATCTCTAGCATCAATATAAATTATGACAGCAGACACCTCAAAAAATCTACATCTATCTTTGAATACATCTGAAATTATATTACCCAACAAAATGCATAGATTATGTATTATTGTATATGCTCATTATACAATCATAAAAATATCTAACATAAATAATGACAGTTCTGGGAGATAATGCTTGCTATACTTTTCCTATTTTGAATATACCAAAACTGCTGTGAAGTCCTTTCTGTAGGAGGTAACCATAGCTCTCTTTTAATCTGGCTATAAAATCAAAGTATGAGCAGAAATATAGGAGATCTCTGGAAAGAGGCTATAGTGTGGAAATGGGTCTTTTTTTTGTCAGTCATGGAGCTTGAAATCTGTGCTCTTCAGCTCAAGGTGAGCACTCTACCTTTTGAGCCACAGCACCACTTCCAGTTTTCTAGTGGTTTGTTGGAGATAGGAGTCTCTCAGACTTTCCTGCCTGGGCTGGCTTTGAATCGTGATCCTCAGATCTCAGCCTCCTGAGTAGCTAAGATTACAGGCATAAGCCACCAGTCTCAGGCTGAAGATGATTCTTTGAAAATAGATGTTTTAGCTTTTTCAAACTTTCTATCAGCTGAATATTCCATTTCTCGTTGTGAGACTGGCATTAATCCGAATCTTAATATCCATTCTATTAAGATGAATGAAGTAATATGTATTCCCACAGGTTACTTAGAGCCACACAAATAGTATAAACTCACATTGGACACTGAATACATATAGCAAAATCTCACACATTACCTCAATCATTTGCTTCAATAAGGAAAAAAAACAAAAATATTCATCAAAGCATGGTTATAATTGTTAAATACTGGAGGCTATTTCAAAATCAAAACAAATAGAATTGAATCTATGAGCTGATGTATCAAAGTGGAAAAACTATGTATGCTTGTGTATATACATATATGTACATAGATAGATAGAGAGATAGAGAGAATATGAGATAGATCCCTATATGATTTTAGAAAATAATGCCAAGTGAAGAAAGCCAAGTAATGCAAGCACAAACATAGTATAATGACTTTCATATATATATATATATATAATTGTAAAAATACTGTACAGAAGGGTTATATTTATATGAGTAAGGTAATGAGTACATTTCCTATCAAGCATTATTACCTCCTCTTTTGTTTTCCCCTACCCTCTCTTCCCTCTTCCCTCCCACCTCTCCAACTCTTGACTCCCTTCCCCTCCCAAGTTGTACAGTTCATTTTCAACATAGTGCCTTATACATCTCATTGTTTTAATGGATCAACCTGTATCCTTATTTCGGCATTTTGTTATTTCCCTTCCCCTCTCCAAATTAGAAAAAATATATATAAAAGATTCAGGGCACTGGAATAAGATACAGTGAAAACAGATTATATCATGGGGGAAGAACATACAAAATAAACAAAAAAATCACATGGTGCATTATAAATACATGAAAAACAATAGCAAGAAAAAAAGAAAGAAAGATAGGGACACTCGTGTCCCTATCTTGGGGTTCATTTCGCTTAGCATCATTTTATATGGTCAAATGTATATAGCTTTTGACCTTTTCTGCTTGTCCTAGACATATACTAGTTATTGAAAATAAGGGAAACAAAGAGGTTAACACTTCCTGCCTGGAAATTTCCCATGCTAAACCAAAATAGACAGAACTCTTCTAGTGTAGTGAGGGCAAAAGAATGGGCCAGACTGTGCAGTAAGGGAAAAGCCTTCCTTCCAGAAAAGTTCTGCATTTCTTACCATGGCCTTGCTCAATTGCACGTGTGAGCATCCGAGCATCCTTTCCTAGCCTCCTGCTCCAGGAAAATGTGTACCAGAATGATGGATGATTAGAACCAACAGTGTCTGAATGGGAATTCAGTCAAAGGGATCAGTTCATGAAGAGTATGATCAGACTTAATGAAGCCTCTGATTGGTTCAGCAGGCTATATGACCTTCAGATTGTCCAACAACCTTGAACATTATGTCATTTTTACTAGAGATTGACTCCAGTGCAATTCCCGACAGGCAAGTAACTCTCCTTTGTGACCACCCCCATGTAATGGGATCTCTGCTTATCAATTTCTCTGAGATGTTCCTTCACACAAATCTGTCTGGGCTATTTTCAGAAACTTTTCTGTCACCTACACTGTTACACATCCTGCTTAAACTTTTCTTTTTGCTTGAAGTTTGCAACCCATGTCTTGTCATTCTGGATGTTAACATTTATTTCAAAGTTTTAAAGACATAGAACTACAACTTGTACTTACCCTGAATGTAGTTTGAGCTTTTTATGTCAGCTTATCTTTTTAATCATTTAAAAATTTATTATGAAAATACTGTACAGAGGAGTTGCAATTACATGGACAAAATAATGAGTACATTTCTTATCAAGTATTGTTGCCTCCTCCTTTGTTTCCCCTTACCATCCCTTCCCATATCCCGTCCTCCCTACCCATATCCTCCCCTTCCCCCTGCTTAAATGTTTCTACCATAACAATGAAAGGCTGTGGACACAAAGCTCCCGATATAATTATTTTGGTGCTGTAATTCAGATAAGAGATGTATCAGTTTCAAACCTGCGTAGCTTCTTGTGTGTGACCTGTATTCTCAGATCTGACTATTTCATCTTATTAATCAGGGGATGATAAAGGCAACAAAGAGCCACTAGTCTTTTGAAGGATAATTGGGCTATGCCTGTATTTCTGCCCTAGGCATCTCCCCCTAAATTGTGGTGAACTCACTTGGCAGCAAAGTTTGACTATACATTTCTTAAAAAATCCAAGTAAGGTGTTGAAGTGATTACACAGATCAAGACATAAGATACGTATGAACTGTGTTCTTAAAAGGCAAAAAAGTACATAACCTATTAATTAAGAAAAGTAAGGGAAGGGTGGGTTGGTAAGGTGGGTAAGAGTGTTGAAAAGCCTAACATTGATAAAGATGGACTGTATTCATAAACTGCTTTGATGAAGGCAAATAAATAAGAATAGTTAATAAAATTACTCACTGCCTGAAGGAAAAAAAATCCTCCTATATATATTCAGATTTATGCTCCAGATTAATCAGGCATTTTCTGCTTTCTACTCTCCATCTTTCAGATGGTTTAGAGCTGTCAGATATCATATGAACATCTTTTGCAAGGAGATACAACTTTGCTTTGGTTCAAGGGGCCAAGCTAGAATTTTTTTAAACATAGGTAAAGGTCAATACTAGTTTAAGCTTTCACTTTGAAAAATGAAGACAATAAAAAGGGCCCCTCTTTGATATTCTTTTTTTTTATTGTGAAAATACTGTACAGAGGGGTTACAATTACATAAGCAAGATAATGAGTACATTTCTTATCAAGCATTGTTGCCTCCTCCTTTGTTTCCCCTTCCCGTCCCTTCCCCTCTATGCTCCCTAACCCCTCACGCCACCACAACCACCACCACTACCACCAATCAGAAATTTACTAGGTGCTACCCTTTGGAAGGCACAATTCTTCTTAAAGCATTTTGCCAGTTAGTTTTTCATAAAATAAAAATAAACTTTCTCACTCAAAGAGCAGAAACAGAGCATAGGCTCTGCCAAACTGATGAGGAAAATACGTCTAGCAGTAGCAAACTCTTCCATTGTGCTTCTTCCATTATTCTGACACAAACTTGTCTCATGCTCTTTGTGTGAGATGCAACGAAGTGCTGTAGTTTGCAAACCTTAAGAGGTCCTTGCTATACCAAACCTAGTACTAAATGCCCAGCTTCCAGAATTATGATAGAAAATCCAGTCATTTATAAGTTCTTCTCAGTCTGTATCTGTAGTTCTTTATTACAGCAATTGAAAATGACCATAACCATCCATGCTTATTGTTTCTGTACCCTACCTTTCAAATAACATTATTTGTTTTCCTACATTATAGAATAATACGAATCATAAACTGTGACTTGGTAAATGCTGATGAACTCTCTCTCCACTTTGTTCTGTGACATGGTTAAGAAAGTGCTCTTTGCAACACAGTCCTTTGAGACCTGACCTCGGTTTGCCTGGCTACAACACTGGTCAAGTTGAAAACCTTCAGTTAACATCTAATCCTTCCACACAGTATAGCTGTACATTTGTATTTAAACTCAAATATATCAATAAATTGTCAACACAAGTATAAAACACATCTCTATCTATATTGGAGTAATTATGTAAAATAGCTGGTGGCCCCAAATATCCATCTGTTAACAGTGAATATTTTCACTGTTACAGCAGTAAAAAGTTAAAGAAGGCTCAGTAAAATTACACTAAAATAATACTAAATTAAATAACACTAAATAACTCTAATTCCACAATCTTAAAATAACAGATGAAAAATACATTAGGGTTTATGTTATTTAATAATAAAATGAGTAAGTACATCGGAGAACAGACATGAATGACATTTTTACCATAGTACAGAAATATTTAAGAGTATGAATCTTATGTGTTATTTTCCCAACATTGCTCACATTATTGAATTCAGTGTCTATGTAAATATTCATACCACAAATTCTAATTTGGTCATTTTATTGCTATAGTCAGAACTGATTTATTATCTCAAGAAAGAAAACAGCATTCTTTTCCAATTCTGTAATTTCCAACTACAGTACAGGTCACAATAAGTTCATGTCCTGGGTAGCTGGCAGATTTGCATTTTTTTTGTAGTCTCTAGTGAGGAAAATGTTTCTTCAACTCTTCTAGACCTACAAGTTTCCATCAATATGCACATGAAGACAACTTTCCATCAATGCTAGCAGTGTCAGAACACCAACCATAGAAATATCTCTCCTGCTGAGCAATATCTTAAAACCTTAGCGTTTAAGGTTTGATGTGTTTGTACTGTGAACATTTGGCATTCTACCCATTTGAAACTCCTTACTGTAATTAGAACTTTTCAATGTAATAATGTATTCATTGATAGCAACAGTCTGGGAATAGATTTGACTTTTTAGATCAATCAGTCTGGCATGGGGTCACAGAAGATTGAATTACATAAATCAGTCTAAGTAACCAATACCCAACTCCAACTGTTCCTGTGACAACGATGATGAGGAGCCACTATTCCAGAATTTTAAGATTAAAAAATAAATATGAATGTGTGACCCCGAATTATTTTCCTTACATCACAAAGTCTCTTTATGATTATTACAAAAATCCCCACAAACAAGTAGGGGATGCTCACTAGGATTTCTTGATTCTAGTTCTACTCCTCAGAATGCTTACAATGATGTAGCCTCCACTGAAGTTTACATAGAGAGGCTTTGATTTCCTTGTTCCTCCAATTGTATATGATAGCATTCAAGGATGGGCACATTGCTGAATACAGAAGCCAAAAACTCCAAAGGTGTGGAAAATCAGGCTTCAAATAGGCAAAAACCCCTGTTTCTAAAAATGTGGTGATGACTGTGGGATGGGCACACAGGTGAAGGCTTTTGACCGCCCTTGTAATGATGGCATTCTCAGCACTGTATTGAAGATGTAAGCATATGAAATTCCCCTTCACACTAAGAAGAAAAGTCCACATATTACAGCAATGGCCACAGGAACTTCAATGGTGACATGGATCTTAGGGCAAGAAATCTTCAGTAGAGAGGGGACATCACAGAAAAACTGTGGGAGTTTTCCGGAGCCACAGAAAGACAAAGAGAAAGTTCCAGCAGTATACAAGATGCCAATAAAACCTCCAAACAACCAAGAGGCAGCTATCTGCATGCAGATTGACTTGTTCATAATGACCTCATAATGCAGTGGGTGACAGAGGGCCACATAGCAATCACAGGATATGGCTGTGAGGAGAGAAAGCTCACACCCAGAAAAGTGAACCACCAAGAAGAGTTGACACACACATCCTGGGAAAGAGATGTTGCTCCTGTCTGTCCAACAGTTCAAAATGGGGTTTGGAATCATGACCAAAATGAGGCCTGTGTCAAGGGAGGACAAGTTTTTCAGGAAGAAGTACATGGGGTTTGAAGACAATGGTCCACGGTGACAAAGGTGACGATGACAAGATTCCCCAAGATAGTCTCTAAGTAAATGAGCAGAAAGAGAAAGCCGTGTACCAACTGGATCTGCCTGCTGCAGAGAACTGAGTGAGGAGCAGTCCATCTCCACTGTGTGATTGGCCGTGAGGTCCCTGCATTTACCTGTAGTGTGCAAAAGATGGAAGATCACACGTTTGGCACAGGCTGAACCTTTCTCTTATTGAGCAATGAATTTTCACCTGGGATGGCTTTGAACCATAATCCTGAGATCTCAATTTCCTGAATAGCAATAATTACAGGTGTGAGCCAATGGCATCTGGTGAGCTTTTGACTCTTGATAATATTTGTGCCACAATTCCTACAGTTGACCACATCAGATGTACAGTGAGAATAGACAAGGACTTTGAACATTGCCAACATGATCTCTAAACTTAGAGTGGCGAAATTCAGGAAGAATAAAATGTGGGCTTTGAAGAGCTCCGAAAACATTTCATAAACAATTCTCCAGACAAAATTACCCTGAATGGATATTCTTACATTGTTTAAATGTATCAAATTATCATACTATATACCTTATATATATATATGAAGTATAATGTATAAACTTTTAAAGTAGTGAAAATAATTTAAATACACATTTCAAAGTTTTCTTGAAAGTACTTGCTGATAGAAAAGGGCTGCTTTGTACATGCTTGTTCACACATGGACCATGGTGGTTTCTCTTCTGACTACCTTTCCTTCAGTCTTAATGAATTTCCAATAGGCAGACTCACCTGGAACATGTGAAGTACTAAGGGTTTCTTTTATTCATGTGAGCACTTCATGGTCCACAGTGTAAGAAAGTCCTCATTTTAATGCAGCTGAAATAATTTCCAATACACTCTACAATCACCCACAATGGACAGAGAACAAATAGTTTTCATGGGGACCATGGTGCAGTACTTTATGGAGCTTCAGTCGGATGATTGAGGGTTCACCCTGGTCCAACCTCACCCTTCTCTCCTGTGTTCGTGCTATGACCATTCTTGCAGGGTCACTAAGGGCTCATGTCTCCTGGGGAAAAATGTCACCAGACAGCCATCCTCTGTATTCTAAGAGATTCATTCACCATTCATTGCTCATGTTTATTTTAAACTCTATAATAATCTGAAGTTTGAGTTTGTATATATTTTTGACAAAGAATAACTTTAGATATTAATTTATTTTGGTATAGTGTGGGTGTAGCTTCTTTTATTTGGGGGGTGTGTGTGTGTGTGTGTGTGTGTGTGTGTGCTGTTCTGGGGCTTGAATTCAGGGCCTGAGTATAATCCCTGAGCTTTTGTGTTCAAGGCCTAAACTCAACCCCTTAAGTCACTGTTCCATTTCTGATTTTTTGGTGCTTAATTAAAGATGAGTAAGACTGTCTTTCCTGAATTTGGTTCCGAACTATAATCTTCATACATCAGCCTCCTGTTAGCTAAGATTAAGTGGCATGAAACACTGAGTCTTGGCTTATACTGTGTGTGTATGTGTATGTGTGTGTTTGTGCATTTAATCCACTGTTTTTAGAAAGTCTGAAGTGTAACCTTAGAGTATGTCCCTGAACTGAAGATATGAATGTGTTTTTAGTAAAATTTAAGGTTCTAAAGTCTTATTACTTCCAGAAACATATAGATGAATGCATGAATTACAGTTATAATTCTAATTACAAGAATTATGAGTGAGGTGTGAGGATGTAGCTCATTGTGAAATTAGTGGTCTAACATGTTTGTCATCCTGCTTTGATCTCAGCACAGCAAACAAAATATTCTTATTACAATTTTTTATTATTTTTAAGTAGTTGTACAAAGAAGTTCCCATTCCGCAAAATAGTATCTGAGTACAAAGTGTCTGACAACATTGTCACCCATCTTTCTTAACCCATACCTTCTCACTTTTTTTCTTTAATTGTGATTAGGTGATTACATGAATTTCACAGTATTGTGGAATAGTGCTACTTACTTAGAGTCACAAACACAATTTAACTTTCACATGTCAAATTGTCATTATCATGGTCTATACAGTTTGTAAATTCTATGAGCTTTGACAATACAAGTTATTTTTTTCCACATCAGGTGATGTTTACATTTCTGTCCTTTTTCTTAGTGTGGGCTGTTCCCACTTATTCTGTTCCTCCTCCTGGCTTCCCTCTGTTGTGTGCATATATCTACCATATATATGGTCAAGAACATGGAGTCATTTAGTAATGATATGACAAAATGGGTGGCTGTCCTTTGTTTCTTGAGTCCTGTTACTTTGCCATATCTACTTGTATTTTGGCTTAGCATCCACATATCAGGGAGACCATGTGCTGTTTGTTTCTTTGTTCTTGGCTTACTTAATTCAAAATAATCTGCTTTAGTTCCATCCATTTCCCTGCAAATGCCATTATTTTGTCCTTTCTAATGGCTGCATAATATTTTGGACCCACTCATCAGTAGTGGGCATCTGAGTTGTTTCCAAATCTTGGCTATTGTGAACAGTGCTTCAATAAACATGGAGGTGCATGTGTCTTTGTATGCTGGTTCCTGTCAGCAAACAAAATTTAAAACCATAAAAACAACTTATACATAAACTTCCTTTATCATAGTACAAATCTGAAGCAGCATAAATTCCACTGGCAGAACAACAGATATCTTTACATAATAATTTCCACTATGAAAGTAAAATATTAATGAAAAATATAAAACCGTAAATGGCTTGAGGGATGAATCTTGAAAATATCAAACAAATGTCAAGCACATAACAAAGGATATCATATACTATGTACTTAAGAATGTATTTAAAAATTTATATGCTGAACCTGTGACCAAAGTATAAATAAATGTGGAGTTAAGAACTTTGAAGAACTCCTCAAGTTGGAACAAGACTAATGCCTAAAGCAATACAACTCAGGCTGCAAAGGGCACAGGTGGTTCACTCATGTTATGTGAGGACACAAGAGGTGGTCACGATTGCAGGAAGGAAGCAAGCCCTCAGCAGAACCTGTTGCCCTGTGTTTTGACCTTTCACTTCCTTTGCTCAGAATGATAATAAAAATGATTTGTTCTTTGAGTTTCCGTTTTTAGTCACATTCCGATTTTCAGTAACATTCCACTTTCTGGTAGCATCTTTGGCTTGTGACATTTTGTTATGGCAGATTGAGCTGAGAAAGATATAATAGACGATGCAGAGTTGCATTTTTATGGAAGTCAATGAAAACAAAGAAATTAGATTCATGTAAAATTTAGAGCAAAGTATCTTTGGGCCCAAAGCAACATTGAAAAATAGGAAACAATATTGCTTATTCATCCTTTATTGTCTATATCTTGTATGTTTGACGTTTTAATGGAAAATACCAATTTCACTAATAAAATAGGTTGCCATTGTAAGTCACTTTTAATCTAATACATTCTATACAGAAAGTAGTCAGAAAACAACACATTTAACAAAAGATTTTGATTTACACCTATGATCATATATTGCTGCAGTCACAAGCAAAGATGAGTAAGCCAAAGAAAATATTTGCACAGTAAAATATTTCATCCTTTTAATGAATGGTATTAGCTTTTAATTTTGCACAGTTGTTTCATATTTTACTTTTTGTAGACAGAATAAACATACAAACATTAACTTTTATAGGTTAATGGTCCTTTTCATCACCATCATTCATTGAAACATTATTGATTTATAATTTATCTAGCTGACATATTTCATGTTTAGCTTGATGCAATATCTTTTGAAATTATTGCCTTAATTCTTTCTAAGGCTCTCAGAATTATTAACCACCTGGCTATAGGGATAGCTCATCCTGTCATTATTTGCATATTTATTTAATGATTCTCATCTATACATCATGACTTTTGTGTGATATTATTACCTTGTATGTTGAGGACTACATTGGAGATATTGTTTATATATTTTGTACTAATTTTTCTATTACAATCTCAGTGTCTTCATGTGAGTTGTAAAAATTCTTATTGCTTATTAAAAATAACATCTCATTTAACAATGATTTACTTAAATCAAGCTCCTACATAAATCAAGTACTGTATGAGTAATTATTTTCTGCAGTAATATTTTTAATTTTAATTTTCTTTTAAACTAAATTTAGTTTTGCCTGATCTATGAAAATATAAAAATGTGTACGTTTGTATACGGTGTGTATATTTAGATTTACATTATGCCATCATAACAATGCTACTACATGGAGAACAGCAGGACTGGCTTGGGAAGAAGGTAGAATTGGGATCAAATTGGCATCTGTGTTCCTTTGTCCAGAGTAACACAGGCCAGTGGGGAGCACTTGTGAGCTCCCTGACATCCCAATACAACAAGAAGGCTTGACTGCTCAGATCTAGGAAGAAGAGGAACATAGCTAAGGCAAAAGAATCAAACACCTAGTACCTTGGTGAGGGTGATGTGTGGCAGACAAAAACCTCTCTCACAATTAGACCAGTTTCCTATAATTTATTTCAACTTGGGATTCTCATCCAAGCAAGCCAAGTATGTTTCTGTGCTTGGCCACTGAGCTACATATCCAGTACATGATTTTTTTCACTTAATTTTTTAATGGAAATTAACTTTCTTTTAGGATTTAGGCATTACAACGGATTGTTCTAACATTATATCGGATTCATCATATTTCTCAGAAGGTAAAAGGATAAGCTCCAAGGTATTGTCTTAGGAGCATTAATTGTAGGATGCACACCTTAAACTTCTTCAGAAATTGCCAATATTTCTCTCCAACCTTGAATCAATATATGCTCTTAGTCATTCTCATTTTTCCATATTTTTACCAACTCTTGTTAGTCTCAGAATTTAAAACATTTTCATCTGATAGCTATAAAACAATAAATAATTTGGATTTTAAAATACTTTTGTATTATTAGCATTTGACCATTTTTCAATGTTTGTCTTTTTCATATTTTCTATAAACTTAGAATTTATAAATTTTATTTTAATTCTCTTTTTAAAACAAACATCTATGTAAGGAATTGGTTATTTCATATTGTGTAAAATATTTTCTTCTAAAATTTTGTGTGCTTGTTCTATGAATAAAAATGAAATTTCAAGTATCATATTTATAAATAATCTATTGTCAGTCTCTTGAGTTAGTTTTCAAGTTTGTTGAGTCATTCTTCTGACCATGTTTTAGAGTCAAATTTAAATTAAAAATGTTTTAGAATTGTGATAATCACATTAAGATGTTTAATATAAGTGATTTTATTTTTTATCATAGTGTAATGTAGAATTCTGATGTATTCAACTTTAATTTTATCAAGATAATTTTCTCACTGTTACTTAGTCCTTCTCTTATTCTGGATAAAATTCAAGTACTGGGTTGGTTCTACTCCCGTATGCATATATTATTTTGTCATTGAACAAAGAATCTACAAGTAATTTTACAATTTTTATTAGTGTTGAAAGCAGGCACTTTGTTTCATGTTTCAAATGAAATGTGAATACTGTCATGACAAATATATAGAAATATATAGATCAGCAGAAATTAGTAATTTATTTTGAATGTAGAGGAATTTTTTTAATATTAAGAACATACTATCAATCAGAATGTTTCCTTCAGTTAATTATACATTTTTTCAAGTAAATGGAGGACAGGTTCAGATTTTATTACTCTTCTTTCTTTTTTTATTGTCAAGGTGATGTACAGAGGGGTTATAGTTACTGAAGTAAGGTAATAAGTACATTTCTTTTCAAACATGTTACCATTACCGCTTCCCTCTTTTTTCTCCTAATATCCCTCCCCTAAACCCCCAAGTTGCACAGATCATTTGCACCATATTGACTTGTGAATATCCCTGTTGCATTGGTTCCCTTTTTGTCCCTTGTCTAAATATTCTATATCTTTTTGTAAAATAAACAGGTATAGATTAAGTAGGAGTTAGTTAACGAATTTTCTTTAAAGTACATTTTCTTTTAAAATGTAGCTTTAAAAAAATTCTATGAAATAACATTTTTTTTGCTGTTCCTGGGACTCAAACTCTGGGCTTTGGTGCTGTTCCTGA